CATGTTCCGGTTCCTCCACCGCGCCCACCGCCTTTGCCATGGCGTTTGCCACCGCGGTGGCCGCTTGGTCCGCCTTGAGTGCGTCGACCACCCCCACTTTGGGGTAATTCGCCAGGTGGGATGGCAGCCCATCCTGGCGGAAACACGAAGTCTTGACGCACCGCGTTCTGGTGGAACGCACGGGAGAGCTTCGTGCAGGTGTACGTCGAGTGGCTGCCTGAGGACAGGCAGTAGCCACACCAATCCGCCATGGGGTCTTGGGTGCCCCAGGGTACGGTGGCCGCTTGTCCGTAGCCTTCTCGCTGGCTGGCGCCATCGCAAAAAGGCCGGAAGTGCCAATGCGCTAGACCGCGTTGTCGCGGTCGCGGTTGCCAAGCCATGCACCGGTACAGCCGCGGCGATCGGCGCTGGGCCGAGGTAGTGCGGGTACTTGGGTGACCAAGCCCGGCCAGTGTTGCTAGAGCAACTGGCGCATGTTCTTATATGGGATGCTCGGCTGGCCGCCGCGCCATACGAACAGGTCTGGAGCGATGCACTCGGGTAGTGCCGCCACGAGGGCCGAGGCTCGTGGCTATCGCTGAGGGGTCGCCCTTCCAGCTTCTCCACTGCCGTTCGCATCTTGTCGAAGGCTTGGAGGTTGACGTCCAACGACACGTGAGGCTTGAACTTGAACGTGTGTAACCGTTGGTAAACGGAGATGGCCGTTGCATGTTTTTGTTCGTCGCTGGAAAATTTCCGCCGAAACGACGAAATGATGCAATGCGCACATTCCTCGCGAATCCCGGCAGCGGCATCGCGCTGGGCCATGGCAGCGGCATCGCGCTGGGCCATGGCAGCGGCATCACGCTGGACCGTGGGGGACAAGGAGGCGTAGACCAGCGCGCATGAGCGCGCGATGGCCGTCTTCTCCAGCTTGATCAACTCATCCACGTGGTTGCGGATGGACTTCGCGATCGCTTCGTCCGTCGAGCGGTTGTCCGCGAGCCACTCGGTGAGCTCCGGACCCAGTGGTGGGTGGGCGTCGAGCGTGAGTGGTGTGAGAGGGGGTGAGCCGGCAGGCAGTGCTGCCGCTTCGGCTTGGTGCTGCCGTATGCGCTTGCAGTCATTGAGTAGCACCTTGTAGGCTCGACGGAGTCCCTTCATGGACGTGGCTGTCTCGACTTGCGCGCAGTGAGTCGCCATCTCGGTGAGATCCTCACCGGCAAGGATGACGGAAGTGAGTTCAAAGAACCACTCGTCGAAGTTCTCGGCGCCGAGTAGGCGCTGCGTGAACGGTAGGGCCGCGCCAGAGGTAGCGGGTGGAAGGCTCATAACCAGTTGGATGAAAGGGGGCAGGAACAGGCACTTGGCAGGCAGAAGGAATAACTGGAAGTGAATTACTTCTGACTGGAAAGAACCAGCCAATCAAAACTAACAATGATTGACCACGACATCCAATGATGTTTCGTGACCAAATGTCTGCGCTGACTTCTACTCTGAGGAAAAGCCTCTAGAAGGCACAAAAACCTCCTACACAGCTAACAGACGCTGCTACCTGACTGACAGGGCAGTGGGGATGTTCTCTATCAGAACAGGGTGTTCTGACTCTTTTGAACCAAGATTTGCTCAAGAAGATGGAAACGCAGCTCAAACAACTCACGGAAGAGAGAAAGAAGGACTTCTCTGTGGTTGATATGTTCTTGCCAGGATTTGGGATCGCGGGGCTGGTCGTGATATTGTTTGTGTTGCTTCAAACACGACGAGGAAGGACCCAATACCACCAAGTGCCCACCACCCAATCATCCTTAGAATAACAAGAAAAAAGAAGAGTTGGGTGCGTATGCGACGTGGTTAACGTTATTAGGCAGTAAAGGGTTCAAGTGTACGTACATATGTGCGATGATGTTCACGTAAGACGACTACTTAGTTGACTTCTAAACAAACGGAATGTATAGTTATCGTAACATCTCGTTCGTGTGAAGGCAGGTTTCATTCCATGCATATTATTCGGCCAAATTTGGGATCCAGACAGATAATTTTTCATTTTTTGCCGATTTCTACGAAATTGCCAAAATATCAAAGAATTTGGCCCTCTTTTTTGACATCCAGACTCACCCTTTTACTGGATTTTGTGTGTACAAAGATGTGATTGATATTACTCCACGCTAATTAGAATCTGTTGCTGATTTCAATCTGATGGAGCAGCCCCTCTCTCATTCCTATGTTAGATACAGGTAGGTGACTATAGGTCGCTTGATATTCCGCCATGCTACTTACTATAGTATCACTGATCTCCAACGGTGTTTTTATTTCTATTTCAATTCGAAGTTACGGATATAGAATAGAAATTCTTGCACTATCCGGAGGGTTTGTTGCTATTTCACGAGAAAATAGAAATTCTGCAAGTCGAAATTTCTAAAAAGTCCGGATAGTGCCAAAATAGCAACCGTAAAAACGAAGTTTGACTTTAACCTATGCTTAGGTTGAGATGCTCTCAGAGCATCTCCAACCGTAAAGCGAGTGTTCATATGTGCTAGTACTGTACATACTAGAGACCTTTAGCAAACCCATAATTTGAAATTCCCGAAATCAAACTTCGGGTTACTCACAGCTACGAACTTCGTGAAGGCCAAATTCCGCTCGGAATTTGGCTCAAATTTACGAAATCGCATGACCATTCCGTACATTTGAACTTCAAATTACCGAAATGTCTAAGCCAATCAAAATACATCAAAATACAATGGGTGGTGGATTGTGCTTGCTGGGCGTAGATGAACTGTTCATACATGTACTTCGAATTCACTCCAATGGTTGACACACAACCTCGACCACCAGCCAAGTACGTTGCATGGACGTAAGACCTGGAGGTTGCCCTCCTGCGTGAGGTGACACGAATCGAACCATTCGCAGCAGACCACGGTGAGCTGCTGCAGCGATGGAAGTTGGTTGCAAGTGGCCTTAACGTTAGTGACCAAGTACCCAAGATCAACTAGGCACGGGGACGCATGTTTACGACTGGTTAATCGTCAACGCTTACTAAGCCAATGAACGGGGTTTAATTTGTTAGTAACGGTTTTGGCATCGAAATTGCAAATTCCGTGAAATTGCTAAAGGTGTAACTTCAAGTATTCACAAAAATACCAAAATCCGTGAAATTATCAGGCGTCATCCATTTTTCATCCCATGTCATCCAAACTTCATCCCGAGGAAAAATAATAAGATGTCAGAGGTTTATTTATTATGGGAGGACTTGGATACGACTGTTCATTTGTAAAAGGGACGGTTCATTTCTAAAAGCACCTGTTCATTTCTAAAAGCAACATTAGATAGATATGTAGATGTTTTGAATGAAGAAACTTGGCCATACTTTTCGATTATCATCGCTGTGTTCGTTGCGGGGCCTTGGCATCCCTCCATGCTCGAATCCTGGAGCCAAGGTACGGCGGTTTCCATCAAGGTAATACAACTCTACTATTTAGCGGGACACCCAGCTAGTAGCAGCATAAACCTAGTCAAATACGGTGGTTGTGTTGCGGACAGCTGGGGGAGTGCACCTCTCGGCGGTTCCGTGAGACGCTATTGTTGCTGACGAGGATTATGTCGTGATATCTCTGCTGTTGGTTGGTGTGGCCTGTACATTGTGCATGTTACATGAATGACTGATTTTGGAGTCTATTGAATTCATGATATACTTACTACCCACTTCGAAATCAAATATCGAAAGTTTACAGGAACACAGGAAGTATTAGTACTAAGTCTTAGTACGTGTTTCATTCTAGCGTTAGAATGTCTTTTTGCACAATGAATATTTGCTATGAGTACCATTGAAATCCTTGAGTATCTATTTTCATTTTCGGATTCTGTGATGTGAGCAACTATAGTATGCAGTTTGCGCAATGATTATTACTTCGAAGTATTATATATGAGCGCAATTGAATCCATTAAATATCTATATTTGTATTGTACGATGTCAATTACTATTCTATGTTTTTGTTGGTTTTGAAATTTCTACTATTAATAGTATAACGTTCAATAAATATCTGTTTTTGTATTGTATGATGTCAATTACATTTCTACGTTTTTTATGTTTTTGAAATTACTACGTGCAATAGCAATTGAATCCATTAAATATCTATTTTTGTATTGTACGATGTCAATTACTATTCTGTGTTTTTGATGGTTTTGAAATGACTACTATTAACAGTATTACGTTCATTAAGTATATGTTTTTGTATTGTACGATTTCAATTACTATTCTATGTTTTTTATGTTTTTGAAATTACTACTAATAATAGTACTGCATAACGTTTCTGTCGTCATAATGAAAATGCTTCTGTCCATTAAGGGAAAAATATGAGCAATGTAATTAAATATTTTTTTCTTTTTTTCATATATTGGCATAGTAAATGATAATGAAACACAATATAGTCAGTTTCAAATGTTGGGAATGATAACCATTCAGCAATAATATGTATACATCAGTTTTTTTACAGCCTGGATAGTTAGGACATAGTATAAAATAGCCAATACTATTAACAGTAAAGTAATATTGCCATCAGTTTTACATCTTTTTATCATATTAATACGATTTACAGTTAGGTTTTGCCACATCAAAAGATTCCATAATATTTAACCGGTTTCAGGTCTGCTCTGAAACGATAACAGTTTCAAGAGGAGGTGTGATTTGTGACTTGCTTTTTCTATAGCACACTAACGTTATCCTATATTTATGTACTGAAGCTTGCTACTGTAACGCAGAGCACCCCGAAACCCCGAAACCCCACCTCCTACAACAACGTCAAGATGGCCAACGCTACCACCGCACCTCTTCCCCTACCACCATGACCCCATCTCCGCCGGTCACATCCAACATCGCGATCCCCAACAACGACGCCGAAGACAGCCCCTGCTACCACCATGTCCTCGACTCCAACTGTCACATCCAAGACCACACTATGACCTCATCCCATCGCCAACAACGACATACATCGAAGACAGCCCCACTACCACAGCGACCCCAGACCGTGACCTCGCCCATCCCCAACAACGACGCCGAAGACAGCCCCTGCTACAACCATGACCTCGACTCCAACTGTCACATCCAAGACAACGATCCCACACTATGACCTCATCCCATCGCCAACAACGACATACATCGAAGACAGCCCCACTACCACAGCGACCCCAGACCGTGACCTCGCCGCCCCTTCCCCAGCAACAATGTCGAAGTCAGCCCCTTCTACCACCATGACCCCGCCTTTGCCTGTCAATTCGAACAATGCAACATGCTCTCTGTAGTGAAGCTGACACAGCCACCTCCGCTCAGTAACATCTGATGGTGAAATCAAGAGATCCGTCACTATACCCGTGTCACCAAGACTCTGCCTTCACCTTCACAACCACAACTTTGCAACCTTAACATCGACATCAGTGATGACGGCAACTGCTACCGCCATAACCGTGCCACCACCTGTCTTCCGATCACCATGACCCTGCCAACAACGCGACCTCATCCCATCCCCAACAATGACGTCGGTGACGGCCATTGCTACCGCCTGACGCGCCTTCAACTCACTTGTCTCACCCATCACCGCGATCAAACTCCGCGACCTCATTCCACGTGGCAATTGTTGCCAGCATTTCCAGGTTGGGAGTCATTCGAAAAGAAAAAATAGCCATACTTGGTGGGACTCGAACCCTGAACCATTTGGTTGTCTGCCTTGAACACTACCGTGTGTCCAAACCTCACTGCTATCAAACAAGACGGAGAGATATACCAATCCACGAGCAACTATTTGCTCTCATGCGATTGGATGGATTTCGTCCCAGTGTATTGGGATTGGTTAAAGAGATCATTGGATCAGATATGCCTACTTTGCGTGAAATGTCGGCGTCGTCTTCGGTGGGGTCTGTGCTGCATGGTGAGCCGTTGTCGTCGATGGAGTCTATGCCACATGCAGAGCCGTTGCCGTCGGTGGAGTATGTGCTGCATGGAAAGCCGTTGTCGTCGGTGGAGTCGATGTCGTCGGTAGAGTTGTTGTCGTCGGTGGGGTCTATGCCGCATGGAGAGCCGTTGCAGTTGACGTTCGATGCATTTGCGCTTGGACGAGCGACCCGACCCAAACGTGTCAAGCCTCCTGGTGGACATAGGGTGCTTTCAAGAGCACAAGAATCCTTGGCAGCGTTGGGTATGATCATGGAGCTTGCCAAGCACGATCTACTACTCTCGCCCAACCAACAGCAAATCTTTGGCAGCCGTGTCCTTGAACCGCACTCGCAGCGTGTGTACAAGAAGCATTACCGGGGGTTGTGGTACTTTTTCGGCATTATTGGGGATTACACGTCCCTGCTCATTTTGCGCCATGACTGTCCCCAGCATGCTCCAGCCATGTCAGTGAAGCGCCTGTGTGCATACTTGAAGTACAAAACAGGTGCCATCGGGACGATCCTGCACTATGACGATGGCCTCCCAGTGTTGGACGTCGATGGTCAGCCAGTGTTGTGCGACGGCCAATGGAAGGACCCCCAAAACATGATCCAGCTTAGCTCAGCGGTGTCTGCGGCACACAAGGCAAAAGGCATGGGCCAAATGCCGTACGAAGAACAATGCGATGCCTGTTATCGCTTGTTCAGCGACAAGAGCCTGGTCACTGGATGCCGACACCACGCTGGACGAGGGCGACTCTCACGCACGGGAAATGCAAGGTTCTCTGAAGACTTCATCAACTGCATGACACGCATCAGGAAGCACGACCTGTGGCTTTACACCCCGAGTCCAGAATCAATGTGCAACCCCTTGGAGCTGGTGAACATCCGAAGGTACCT